GTGAAGTTGAGGTTGGGTCTCAAGAAGCCTACTGTGAATCAGCTTATTCTTGCTTTTTCTTCTTCCTAAAAGCAAAAATGACCTAGAAATATCTGTCTTTCAAACTGAGCGAAACTCTTTTCTTGTTTGTTGTAATATAGATTTTGTTGCCTAGAAATGGATAGTTGTGTCCTTTGAGGCTTATTTTGTGTGAAAGAGTTTTTGTGATTTTTTCAAGAAAATTACCAAAAAAGAAAATTTTTTGAAAAAATGTGGATCAGCAGAAAGAGTTTTTTTTACAAGGAGTTAATTAATTATTGTCATAAAAAAAGTTTATACAATAGGTTTAAAAGTTTCTATTCAAAAAATAAAAGTAATCAAGATCTCCTTTATCAGATCTCGAACAATTTCAAATAATTAAATAATAGAATAAATTAAATCAAGAAAAAATAGATAGTTAGAATAAGTTAAGAAGAAGGTGATGAAATAATTACTCCTGAAATTAATATTAGACTAATCAATGTATACTAAAAAAAAGTTTGATTTATAAGAGAAATTAAGTTTATCTTGAAAAAAAGGTATAATCTTAAAGGAAATAATAGATATTAATATAATCCTTTTCTATATAACATATAATATATCACTAAATGATTTTATAAATATATTCAAAAAGAATAATATTAATAGAATTGAAAAAGAACATATACTATATAACAAGTATATTATAAATAATTCTTATTAACTAATACTATTTCAATTAAAATATACAATATCAGAAAAATTAATATTAGCTTGAATTAACAAAGACTATATAAACTTTTAAAAAACTTGATATAGATATCTGAAGTATTTATAAAATCAAGTTAACAAATAAAGCAGTGAAGTTCACATTTACTTTACAATAAATATATAATATTTTTCATAGTAACAATAATAAAAAACTCAGAAAATCTGAAGTGGGTCTCCTTACTAACAAAAACATTGAAAAAAAAACCAGAATTTATAAAAAAATAGAAGATTATTTAATAGAAATTAACTTTCTATTAATAAAATATAAGCTTTATATTTATCAGGTATATCTACTATTAGAAAAAACTGTAAGTAGATGACTATAATAGTTACTTCAAAATAAAATTCCAAACAAACAAAGAAATCACTTTAAAGTTATAATTATGTGAGATTTTAATATAGTCATCAATTCAATAGCAGATTGGTCATCCTCTAATAAAATAATACTTAAATACAAAAAAGTTGAAATAGGTCTTTTTAACTTTTTAGAAAACTAGAATTATATAGATATCTTGAACTCTTGGAAAAAAGAAAGTACTATATTTATATAAACAAACAACACATCATATAGTAGAATTGAATATATTTGATTATCATTAGAAATCAGTTTAAATAATATACAGTATATAAATTTAAAAATATTTCAATAAAAATATTATTGAGTAGTAATCATATTTTTTTTGTTAACAAGAATAACAATAAATAATTTGTTTAAGAATCAAGCTCAAGAGCAATGCAGATTAAAAGGTAAGAAAATACTCAATTCAGTAAATTCTATAGTTGAACAATAGAAGAAATTTTAATTCAGAATAAGATAAAACAAATAATTTTAATAAATATAAAAAATAAATATTTTTTATTTGCAAAAAATAAATATTTTTTATTTGCAAAAAATAATATTTTTTAATAATTGTTATTAAAATTAATATTTTTTTTTAGATTTTTATAATTATAATTTATTATTTTTGAAAAATACCTAACAACGATTTTTGAATTATAAAAAATTATTCTATTTCTTAGATAAAAATATATTAGATTATTGATTTTTTTAAATTATTTGAGAATTGAATTTTTAATAATTCATTCTCTTTTGATATAAAATTTATTTTAGTTTAATATATATATATAATTATATTGAAAAAAAATTATAGAATTTTAATATTATAATTAAAAAGAAATATTATTGTATATTTATTGATTACTATATATAAATCTAACAATAATCTTATTCTTTTATTTTTAAAAATATAAGAAAATAAACAAATTCTAATATAATATTTGCAAATGGTATATATAATAAAAATTAATTATTTTCTTTTTAAAAATTAAAGTATCAATTTTCATCGATTTTAAGATTTCTTATTAATTATAGGTTTTGTCAAATTTCCAAATAAATGATTCTTTAAATAGTTATTTAAATAAAATGTGATAAAATTAATTAATGAAACTATTTCATTTTTTTTATTAATTATAGCTTTTTTATTCAATAATATTGAAACATAAAATTCGTATAGATAATTTGATATAAATTAGTTTTTAAGATTTAGAATTCTTTATTTACAAGTTAAAAATATAGAAAATATAATATATGGATTTTTTATAGTAGTAATTAAAATTAATAAGTCTATGAAAAATATCGAATTCTCATAATTAAAATAATAAAGTCTACAGTATATAAGAAATTAGTTCCAAATTGGTTTTAATGTTAGTTCTTATTTGTTTTTGAAAATTATTTCATTATAAATATATTCTTTTAATATGTAATCGTATGCAAAATTCAATAAAAAAGTTGAGTTTGATTAAGTAAGTCAACTATTGGTTATTCTAAGAATCTATTCACTTATATAATATTGTTGAACTTTTATAATTGAATTTAGAATAAAATACCATTAACTTCTATAATAAGTTTTACATCTAATACTTGTGTTTTGTAAATTAATAAAAAAAAAAATACACATCATGTAATACAGTATATTGGTTTAAATATTTCTATAATATCAAAAAAAAATTTTTTTATACAAAGTCTTATTATATCGCTTGATGTATTGATTCTTGTACGATCTACTGTAAATTAATCTAATACGTAATAATAATCAATTTTAATAGATTGGTTGATTTATAAATAAAGATTTTTTTTTTAATGATAAAAATTCTTTGTCAAGATTTAATAATAATCGATAATTGCTTTTTAAAATCACAATTAATGGAAATATTTATGGAATCAAAAAAAAAAAAAAAAAAAAAAAAAAAAAAATTCCTTTACGATCATCGCTTTATGTTTTAAGCAAAAAAGATAAAAAAAAAAAAAAAAGAAAAGAAAAGAAAGAAAGAAAGAAATCTTTTGTAAAAATAAACTTGAGTGTGAAACAATATTATAAGGAAAATGATAGAGATGATGAACAAAGTTGAAACTTGGAATTAATGTTATAGCGCACACAGGTGAGTTCAAACCCTTTGATTGAAAGTAACCGTGATTTTTACTGTAATTATTGAATAGATTCTTTCTGCAAGGCACAATGATTATTTTAATTGAGAATGCGATTTCTGGTGCATTTGCTAACCTCACTTATTTCCTTATAAAAAAAAATCCGAATAAATTTGTTACTTAAATTGGGTTTGGCATTTTTTTTTTTTTTTTCTTGCCCATTTATTAATTTTTAGTAATCTTGTTGGTTTAACGCCTCAGCTATTTTTTGGAAAGAAAAAAAACCCCCTTTATAATCGGCCCTTTTTTTTTTTTAATTAGGTTTAAGGTTTTAAGTGCCCGTGGATATTGTTCGAATCAATCATGGTATAGCGCGATCGGGTGGACAGAAAATGGAAGGAATGCTCCAGTGGCACACGCCCAGGTGCCATGCCCTTGCGGCGCATACGATTAATGAATTGGTGTGCTACGTGTGCATGTAACATACGTACGCAATGTATTCTTAGTAATTAGTAATCGGAATCGACTGGGTCGGTGTTACGAACTTGTTTTAGGAAAAAAAGAAAAATTTTCTGACAATACGAGTTGCCGGCTTCTTTTGTTAAGATTGATTGTGTGGAATACAGCGGATAATGCCAACGGAGGTTTATCGAGTGAGGAAATCATGAGCAGGTGGGTGGCTACGGCGGCGGCGTTTCCAATAATATTTGATGATGCCAAGATTATTGTGACCATGATAATTGACAGTGTGATGGTGCCGGGGATGTGCCATTAATTGGGTTGGGTATGTCAGGGACGTGTGAACACAGAATTGCAATCACACTTTTTGCGAACGAAACAAAACGCTGTTAATTAATTTCACGCCACCAATTGCATAATTGGTGCTAAACGAGGGAGCACCTCTCATGCGTCGAGGTGATGTAAGCAAAAAGCAGAAATTTTCTGGCAATGAAACTCGTTGATGGCTACTGTGTGTGTAAAACCGGGATCAAACTAATGACACAAGTTGATGCGTCAACGTTAATGAACAAGGAATCCGTTAATTATTGCACACGGATATGCTCGATACATGATGCACAAAGCGTTCCGTCTTAATAAAATTGAATCATGCTAGGTCATGTTTGCATAAAATAGTTCTGTAAATAAGGGTTAAAAGAAATCCTCCGAGATGTCAGTATCAAATGTTGTGATGGTAACATGTGTGTGTGTGAGATAACACCTACGGAAAGCGTGATCGATGCTCTAGCCGTAAAGTAACTCTTTCTTCGACCACGCGTGTCTCATAGTAGGTTGTGTATAATTAACATATGTGATCAATTGGTCCTAATGTATGCGTTAATCGAATTCGTGTGGTTATGAGTTTGGTCATATGATATTGCTGTGATTTTCACAACAGATTTATTCATTGTACTGCACGTTCGTATGGTGATATCGATAAGGAACGAAAGATAGCAACCCGGATAAAATTAATCATTTTAATTACACCCTAAGACCAAACCAAAATTTATGGTGGATTCCCTTTCATTCGATTTCATTCCCTTTCATTCCTTTTTATTCCATTTTCTGTTATTTTACAAAAATTTTTAATTTTATTTTTAATTTATATTTATATATCTTTATACATACACATTTTTTTGAAACAAAGAGGTCATGTGTGGACCAAATCACGATTAGCGCAAACCCATTTCACACAGTTACACCAACTGCCAATTATAGAATGAATAATCAAACGAGGTGAAAAAAAACCACCACTAATAATCACATATTGTTGGTTGTTTCTGTTTAACGCTAATGGATCTGGCAATAGATTCCGTCCGGTCCACAGGAGCCGGTCCCATTCCACCATTGATAAACCTGTTACGTATAACAACCTGGTGAAATAATTGAGTATTAATGAATGTGAAACTAGATTCGGTTCGTCCACTGAACAGGCGGATGACAAAAAAGTGCATGCGGTATTACGCATCGTACAGCATGCACAATTACATGTTATAAGTACTTGGAGAGAAACGCTGATGATGACGTGGAATGTCTGATTGAGTGCAGGAGAAAAAGTATTTGCGTATTGTGCTATATATATCAAGATGGAATCTAACGTGAGATTTAGGTTGTATATGAAATAAATATGTATGTATGTTTGTGTAATTTTACAGATGAAAGAACGATCATACGAAAACTATTATGATGAGCGCGTATTTCGAAGAGGTAATTTATTTCGGTCAGGTCAATGCACGGTGCGTTTGTTAAATTATTCCAATACGATTGATTATTCCGGTTGGAATCTCTTGATTTTTACACAGCGGAGCGACATGATATCTTTAACGGGCGACAAATTCTTTTTGGCAATGATGGATGGGCGAAATAATCCAATGCGCACAATAGCTACGATTATTAATAGAGTGCGTAACGGTTTATTTGTTTATTAATTTAGTTGTTTATCTTCTTTTTTTTTTT